CAGTGTATTTTCCATTACACACATCGGCTAATTGACCTGATAACATGTTCCACTGAGATTTGTCACATGGTTTGAAAAAGCCATCTTTCTTCAAGCCTTCAGGGTACCTGTGAAGAGAAATTGACATGTGGGTCACAACTCACAAGATGCAATTATGAAGGCACTTCACCAAGAGAAACGCCCAAGGGTCTTCTGACTAGCTCCACAAGGTGGTGTGCTAACCGGCCTGGTTCAAAGTCTCACCCATTTTATTTATTTGATATTTGGTCATTTCCTAATATTTACTTTTTTAAGGTATTTCACCCAGCTAATATAAGCTTTGGTTGGGTACATGGGGATATCTACAATCCTTTTGGAATATATGAAAAATTCATGACCTAAAGACTCCTTTGAAATGCATGAATTTCATAGGTTCACAACAACTAGTTCAATTCATGCGATTCCTCTAAAAATCGAGGCCTAAATACCTCTATGATCTGTGCATATGCTCTGTGCATGTAAAGACTAGGTTTTAATCCGTTATTTAGAGCAAGTTTAATAGTATAGCCCACTACTAGCTCCAAATCATCTCTAGCCAATGTAATAGCCAATTCATACAATAGCTACTCCCTGTACTATTAATATCTGGTCCCACCTGTCATACACACATTGCGTCTTGGAATCCATGCTGTAGCTGGCTACAGATCTGTAGCCAGCTGTTCTTCTCTCTCTTCCTTTATCTCTTTAAAATATGTTTATAGCTAGCTTATAGCCTGCTATTGTACCTGCTCTTAAAGAAATACCTCTTAGCCAATACACCCTAAAAGTAAGCTCATCCGCAGATATCTTTGCCTGTGAATGTGAAGCGCTCATGAACGTATCCGTAAACATCCACTCTTAGGACCATGAGGAGTTCAAGTGGATCATGGGAGCTTAAGCACTATACGCCTATACCACTTACAGAAGCAAGAACATTCCAATGGAGGTCATGTCCGGCTGTCCATTCCCATATTCCATGGGCTGGTGGAGGCCAGTCACATTGGGAAAAAGCCTATAGGAACCAATGCAACTCAAAGCTGGGGAGGATAAGATAGACATAATTTTCAGGACCTATCATTGGTAGCAATATTATCTCAAATACATTACTAGTAATTCTTTACTTCTTCGTATTTTCATGACGGATGGATTATGTACTAAAGGCTATATTTAGGGACTCACTTGGCAATGACTCATACGAACACTACCAAGCTGATAAATTGGATAGCTTGTGGATATATTCCTTATGTAGCAAGAAAACACCATTCTATGATTACTAGGTGTTGCTCACTAAGCAACAAAACTGAAAATCAGATAGCTCACTAGGCAACACCTAGTAGCCATTTTATGGTTGCATTTTATGCCTAGTGAGTATATGTAGGCATTGGATAGATAGTGGATAGTTGGGGTACCCGTATCGCGTGCTCATCTTTAAGTGGTGGTCTATGTAGTATTAGAGGCAAAGATTTTGGGGTTTTATATAGCAGTGACTCATATGAGCATCACACGGAAAAATCAGATACGTAGCTTTTAGATATGTTCTTTCTGTAACAAGAAAGTGCTAGTTTGTGGTTACCAATTATTGTATTGTGAGCATGTACCCTCGTTGTCCCATGATAAGTTTATTTTTTACTCCTCCTATTTATCCTAGAATAAATTAATTTTTTGAGTAATTATTACATTGGAGTTTATAAAAATATTTAAAAATTATATTAGGAGTCGATAAAGTAAGAAATAATTACATTGGAATTTGGTAAAGTAGGGTTATTTTAGGTTTTTGGTTTTGTATTAGTACGTGTAAGATGGATGGAGAATAAATTTATTTTAGAACGGGGGAGTAACAGATAGTTGGGGTATTCTAAGCGCGTGCTCACCTCTTAATGATGGATTGACGGGGCAAACAGGGACAACTACAAGGCAAGGGGGGGGGGGGGGGGGGCAAGAGTGGAGCATGAACTGGGTTGCACAGAGCATGCGGCTGATCTGCATTTCCTTTTCCATTGCATTTTTTTGGCCCCCCCAAGGATCAAGGGATTTAACCTCCAAATCTACACCTTGCTTTCGTTTTCCCCAGCAGATAATGATTAGGAGCTGATTTGGTTGCTTGGCCTGGCCCTGATCCTCTTTTCCCAAGAGCATGCTTGCCTGCCTCTTTTTCACCAAGGCCAATGTTTTGTGAAAAGGAGAGGTGTAGGGTTAAGAAAAGGGGAGAACTTTGCCTATGGGTTGCTAAAGTTGCTAAGATATTCTATGGGCTATCGTGCAGTAGTACCAACAACAATGAGGAGGAACTGATGGCTTGGTACAGTACCTATTTGAAGGAAGGATGATAGTAGTAGTATCTCTCCATAGTTGAGATGTCAACTGTTCTTGTTGGTACTTGCCTACTCAGGTACTCCAAATCTTGAATGCCACAATAAACATCATTGTATTTTTTTCTAGTAATCGTGGTTTGGTTCTGTTTATCTATGGAAGCTAATCTAGTGTAAAATTGAACTAAACGCATGTTACACCAACTGTACTTTTGTGGTTAGGCACATCAAGGACATTAACCAACAAGGTCAAGCAGTATCTTAAACAGGATAGAGACAAACAAGGACAATAAACTACAGTACACCCTCCGTCAGAGAATAACTTTATTTCTAATTCATCCCATTTATCCCAAAAAATATTCACTTTTGAAGAAAATAATTGTATTGGGTGTACATAAAATAAGAAATAAGAATAGTTACATTGGGATTTGATAAAATATGTGTCTTCTATTTTTTTTATATTGGTATATGTAAGGATAAAAATAAACTTATTTTGATATGAAGGGAGTACGGATGAGAGCTGCTAAGTCTAACCAGTAAACTCCCTCTCCCAGGTTATATGGTCTTATAGTTTGTTGTTTGGGGAGCTGGTGAGTAGCCCGTTGGTAATAATATGAAAAATTACATTCCATTTATTTTCTAGTTCATTTTTCAATTTTGAAACTTTATATGTTGGATTGTTTGAAAGAGCTGAAAATTTTAATAGAAGTTGTAGCTGCCAAAAGCTCTACAAACAGGGCAACATATGCTACCGACCTTGTACAGTTAGCAATTATTTTTGAAATATACTGCATGATTTTGGTTTCTATCCAACCAACACCTATATTGTACCACAAATATCCGTATTTGTTTTGTTAAGAAAAAATGAAATCTCTTGGTTCGTTGACTATGTCCTCGATCCTCTTGAATTATTTGCACAGCCTTTTTTGTCTGGAAAATCCTGTTTTACATGTTTTCAAATTTTTATCATGTAATGGCTCTTGAATATAGTCTAGTAAGCGAAACAACAGCGATCTAAATACAAGCCATTCTAATACAAAATTAGAAACCATCTAGATAATTAGAAAAAAAATGAATTGTATGCTAGCTGCCACCGGTGTGTTTTGGTGTAGAAGCCGGGTTTTATAAATTCTCATTATCTTAAAAAAAAAGTTTCCACCAATGAGTATACATGTCTATTTCTAGATGATATCCACTTTGACTACACCATTTATGACGAGTTTCTTTTTAACTTGGGTTTTTCGGTTTTTTTTCCGTCATACCCTGTGGGTTGGACTCTTTTCAAAAAAATATCTCCTGTGGGTTGGACTCTTTTCAAAAAACAATATCACAAGATATCAGTGAATCATTGACTCACTTAAATGTTAGATTACATGGAAGAAGTTACCCCATGTTAGGAGATGAAATTTGAAATGTACAACACGACCTAGGACTTGTTAAAGAAATAAACAATATTTATTTGTGAAATATCCTTTTCTGTTGAATTATTGGTATACAATTTTGGTTGTTACAGTTTTTTCTAGCCATGGTTACTTTTTTGCATTGGTTCTTGGTTAGAGCCATGTGAAAGAAACAACATCGGCCAAAACATAAGCCATTATAGACAAAATTAGAAACCGTCCGGATATTAAATGCAACCACAACAAAAAATGAATTGAATGCACATCTTTCTCTATATAATATCCACTTTGACTAGTATGTTACCTGCAATTCTTTTTACCTAAGATATTTTTTTCTAGGCATGGGGTCTGTCTTTGAAAGAGAATCGTAGCTACCATCAGTAACTATACACGTCTATTTCTATATGGTATCCACTTTAACTATACCATTTACAACAAGTTTCTTTTTAACTCATGTTTTCCCATCATATCCTAGTGGTTGAACTCTTTTTCAAAAAATATCACGAGATTCCAATGAATAATGCTAGGTTTTGTGGAAGAAGTTACCCTATGTAGGGGAATGAAATTTGAAATATATAATGTAGAGAACCCAACCTAGGGCTTATTAAAGGAATACCTTTTTTTTAAGTATCCATTTTTCGTTGAGTTACTTGTACACAAATTTGGCGGTTTCAGGTTTTCCATAGCCATGGTTATCTTTTGCAATGGTTCTTGTTTAGAGCCATGAGAAAGAAAACAACACTGGCCAAAACATAAGCAATTCTAGTACAAATTTAAAAACCGTCCAGATACTAAATACAACCACAACCACAACAAAACCGAATTAATACATCCCTTTCTTAAGATAATGTCCACTTTGAGCAGTACGTTACCTGCAAGTTCTTTTTAACCCAATTTTTTCCCCAGGCATGACCGAACCAAACTTTTTTATTTACAAAAATAACCGCGAAACTCCCATGAGTCAACCACGCGCACAAAAAACTACTACTATCTGTTCTAATCAAAATTCGAACATTTTTCCCAAACTGAATTTTAAGGTTTCAAGGCTGAATAATCAAATACTCCATCTCCTTGCTGATTATGAATTCCAGCACCCTCATAAATCGCTGATTATGAATCCCCATCACCCTCACAAATTAATGCCATAATAGTACCCTTACATATGTAACGGGCGTAGTCCCATATTTTCCCCTAGATGCGCTACATGGTTGTACTCGTAATCGTACCACAGCACTATAAAATCCACAGATAGATCCATATCCAGCGATCCATCCAGCCAGCCAGCCAAGGCAGCAACGTGACGATATCCACCTCGAAGATACACACGAGCCAACAAGGGCAGGCAGGCACGAGATCAGTTCCAGAGGCCGCAAACAAAGCGCGCCCAAGATCGATGTGATCCGGGGGACGACATGCCCACATGAGGACAAACCAAACTCCAGCTAAGACACCACCACCTCCTCACATCTCATCTCATCATATCCAATCCCAATTCCCCCAACAAAATCCCACCACCTCCTCCTCCTCCTCGTCTCGTCTTCCCTCGCAGCACCAACACCGCCGAGATCTCTCTTCTTCTTTCTTCCTTCTCCGATGCGAAGGGGGAGGAATTCGCAAGGGAACAAGCGAGGAAACAAACAAAGCAACCAAAGATGGCACAAAAATAGCTTTAAGTAAGTGAGCGAAGCAGGCAGGGCAGGCAGGCAAAGGCCACTAGTTAAACTACACGGCCACACCCCATCTGATACTACTCTCATCTCAGCCTAGAGAGAGAGTGTGTGAGATAGTAGTAGCGAGCAGGATATCATCATCACGGCAGCAGCAGCAGCAGCAGCAGCAGCAGCAGAAAGAGAGGAGAGAGATTGTGCGTGTGTGAGGAGAGAAAAAGGCTTTGAAGAGGAGAGATCCACCTCGAACTAGTAGCCCCCGAGTCCCCGAGTCCGGAGTCCTCTTGTTCTTCTTCTTCGTTGCTGCTGGTTTGGTGGGAAGAAGAATTGGTGCGTGTGTGTGTGTGAGGATGAGGGAGGAGGAGGAACCGAGCTGGTTCGCGCGGTGGGAGGAGCAGCTGCCGGCGCCGGACGAGCTGATGCCGCTGTCGCAGTCGCTCATCACGCCCGATCTCGCGGTGGCCTTCGACATCCCGACGCATGGGGGTGGTGGTGGTGGTGGGGTGGGCGGGGGTGTTGTCGGGGGTGATGGGGTGGGAGGTGGAGGTGGTGGTGGTGGTGGTGGTGGCGGTGGCGTGGGGGCAGGGGAGATGAACGGCGGGGCGTCGTCGGCGGCCGGGTCGAGCGGCGGCGGCGGCGGCGGGGGAGGTGGCGACGAGCCGGCGCGGACGCTCAAGAGGCCCCGGCTCGTGTGGACGCCGCAGCTGCACAAGCGGTTCGTCGACGCGGTGGCGCACCTCGGCATCAAGAACGCCGTCCCCAAGACGATAATGCAGCTGATGAGCGTCGATGGCCTCACGCGCGAGAACGTTGCGTCGCACCTCCAGAAGTACCGCCTCTACCTCAAGCGCATGCAGGGGGTCGGCAACGGCGGCGGCGGCGGAGGAGGGGGCGGCGCCGGCGCCGGCGGGAGCCACTCCTCCGGCTCCGGCACGGACGCCGCCACGGAGCACCTCTTCGCCACCGGGCCGGTCCCCTTCCTCCCGCCCGGCCGCGCCCCCGCCGGCGGGGACCCGTACCCGCCGTTCGCCCCCATGGGCGGGCACCACCACCACCCGCCGCAGATCGGCCACTTCCACCACCACCCCGCCGCGCGCCCGCTCGGCCACTACGGCTCCGGCCCGGGCGCCGGCTTCGACCACGGGTTCCTCAGCCGGGCCGTCGCCGGAGGCGGCCCGCCCGTCGGCCCACCGGGGATGCACCACCGCATGGTCGGCCCCGCCGCCGGCATGGCGATGATGGCGCCGTCCCCCTTCGCCGAAGAGCTGGAGCTCGGATCCCGAGGAGGCGGCGGCGGCGGCGGGCGCCGCGAGCTTACTCTGTTCCCGACGACCGGCGACCACTGAGGCAAGCAGACAGACAGACCGACGGCGGCGAGCCGGCGACGGGCACCGGGCTTCCGTCCTCGGGTACATACAATTCGTTCGCTTCATCTCCCCCTCTGCTAGTTCCCCACCAGATCGGCATAGGAATCGAGCAAGTCCCATCGCATCATCGAGTCCCAAGAATTCTTGGGAATTAGCACTCCACCGCTCATGTCTCAATCCAATCCGTATTGCTCCCAAAACTCTTGCCCCTCCCCATTTGTTGCTGCTGTTCTTGTGTTGCTGCTGCTATTTGTCATTGCTCTTCCAGTTCTCACCTCCTCCTCCTCCTCCTCTTCTCCTGTTCTTGTCTTTGATGACATAATTAAACTTAGCCTTAGAGAGGATGATTATTTAGAGGGTAAAAAGGAATTGTGACAGTTTGGTAGTACTTCCATCTTTGTCGTCCAAGAACACCTCATCAAAAAAACAAAAGAGAAAAAAAATCAAATCATTGTGATTGCGCCATGGAGGATCCGGGGTCAAATTGCTCTGCTCATCCTGGTGACTGTCACTCACTTGGTTCTTGAGTGATACAACTCCAACCAAACAAGTGATGCAATCAACTGCCACTGAGAAGATTGCATGGGTGTAATTGGCAAGTGTGATATAGGCAGAGGATTGAATAATTGGCAAGGACCCACTCCAGGAGATGAATAATTCTGAGGATTAAGCTTTATTTGTTGTGAATGAATGATGATAATTAGGCATGTCTTGGTGAGCTCAGATCATCTTCCGAGTGGCCAAAGAGATTCATAGCTTAGCTTCTACCTTAGTGTTTTGAGGAGTATGTGTAGCAAGGGTTTCAGAGCAACTCGAATTGGAGTTTGTTTGTAGTAGCAATCACTTGTAAATCAGCGGTAAATTGCCTCTCGTTTTCCTCGTAGCCGTGAGATGAAAGAAAAAAAAAGAGAGAGAGAAGAAGATCTTCTTGAGTTGTGCTAGTACAGTGATGCTTTATGTTCTTGTACATTGAACCCTGTTCAGTTCAAGTCAAAATTTTCACATTATCTGCATCTCTTGTGGATGACCAACATGTCGCTGTTCGGCAAGGGAACTCTTTGTCCATCTTATTCACCACAATTAACTACCCGTCCTAAAATAATAACGGGTTGATATAGCAGCAATTAGGATTTAAATCAGCAATTAGGATTTAAATCAGTACAGAGAAAAAAAGAGACCAAAGTACCGTCATAAACAGAATGGTAGTAATGATGTGCGCGTAGATTAGGGACAGATAAAACCATAGAAATTAACTGTTTGGGCAAATGTTAGGAGCTAGAAATGAACTTTTTTCAAAAAAAAAAAAAGACGAAGGGAGTACATATATATACATCATGGTAGGCAATGCATATACTCAATCCGTTCTAAAAATGTAAGCATTTCCTAGGGTTCAAAATCTATTTTTACTATATAATCATTTCTTCATCTAACTAATCACGCCATATATTTTTAAAATTTTTTACATACTTTATTATTTTAACGAGCATAAATATTTCCAAGTTAACCATAGTTTCTACTCCTCCCGTTTTAAAAATAAATTATATTTTGTAAGTGAATTGTATCCATACAAAAGTTATTAAAGCTATTTTATACTAGTAGTGTGCACTCTCCGTTTCAAAGTAAGTTTATTTGTATAACAGCGAGAATCGAATTTATTTTTATATTTTTTAAAAAAAGAAAATTTATTTTTGGAATGAAGCGTGTATTTTGGAACAAAAGGAGTATGATTCTGCTAGTGGCGCCATGGTGGTACCGTGGTAGCATCGGTATGTCAAGCTGTGAATCTGTCCGTCGATTAAACTAGTAGGAGTAGTACAGCAAGTAGTAGCACCAGTACAGTAATGTTCTTCACCTGATCTGATCCAGGTAGAGGTTGACGAGTCCAAGGATGGGAGTATCAGCATGACCGTATCGCTGATACCGATGGCCAGTGGAGAGGCGAGAGATTCTGCGCAATGGGGACGAGACGGAGACGGAGACGGAGGCGTGTGTCGCTGCTGCTGCTGCTGCGTTGATTTCAGAGGAGGAGGAGAAGGCGTTGGGAGGAGAGGTGGTGGCAGGAGGAGGAGGGTATTGATGATGATTCTCCGAGGAGGAGAGGAGCATGTAGGAGTAAATGTTGGTGTTGAGCGTGACGAGGCGTTGAGTGATGTGACCACGAGGGCCGGACGGACGGGGACGGGGACGGACTTGTGGTTTGATGGGAAAAGAAAAATCTGGCTGACTGCTCGTCGTTGTATCTCGCGGCTCCGCTCCGAGACGAGGCGAGGCCGCGAAAGCGAGGCGTGTGGGTTTTGTTCGGGTCAGGGCAGGGTAGCGGAGGGTTTGTCACTCCACTCCTGTCCCCCTCTCTCTCCTCTCCTCCCCCTGGGACGGGGCGATCTGCTTGACTGCTTCTCACTTCTTCAGTTTTATTGTCATCTCTCTCACAATTACGGATTGCAATAGATTTCGGAAGAATGACACACTTTCTAATATAATAAATCTATATATGCTTCATAGTATTAGGAAATATTCCATCTATTCAAAGTTTCTTATATTTTGATACGAAGATAATATAAGAGCAAATACAGTAATATAACCAATAACCGACTATAATTTTTACATGTCATATAGAGAATATCATCTATAGATAGAGGAACAAACAATTACTACAACAAAAATCTACAATAAAATGCTACTAAAAACTATTTTATTTTATTACAGCCCACCACTCCTTCCCGCCGCCGTCAAACACTCCTAAATTATAGGGTTTTGAAGAGGGGATGGGAGAGGGAGAGCGGCTTGGGTCTGGTCAATTAGACTCCGTTGAGTTACAAGCTTCTGGCCCTAGGGATAAAATTTTCTTTTTTTATATATTTTCTCTATATTTGAATTTGAAATAATCAAATAATGGTTATGATCTTCAACATCAATTTACCGCAGTGCCACAATTTCGGGATATCCTATAACAAATTCCACAAAATTTAAGCATTTTGTAGCAAATTTTATCAATATATAGTGTTGTAAACTTTAATTAAGATCTTTTATGCTTTGATTTGCTTTATAATTCTTACATGAATCCGTTTAGTAGACCGTATTTATTGTACGTGAGTTCGATGGTAGATTCGATGTTGATTCGCTTTATAACTTCGTTTGATTGAAATTGGAACGATGCGACGGAAAAGTTAAAGTTTGTATGTGTATGAAATTTTGATGTGATGAAAAAGTTAAAAGTTTAAAGAAAAAGTTGGTAACTAAACCAGCCCTTGATCAATATGATGAAAACATTCAGGAACTTTGACCAGCATTAACTCGAGCTGACGAGAATATACATTCCGGAATTCTCACCATTGGTTTTGCCCGCGTGAATTGTCTTCACTGCTCAGTAATTGCGCTGCTCGAGCGCGACCAATGGCCTCACGAAAACTCCAGGTGGTTCGGCCACGGAACCAGAGTATGGAACTGATTGCGTCCTTGGCACGAAGGCGAATTTTCACCGCGATTTTCTCCATTTGTCTGACTCGTACAACCTTTCACCTCCTCTTTTTCACCCTTTACCCAAGCAAGAAGTTGGTAAAAAGAAGGGCAGGTCACAAAAGAATGAGGAGAGCAAGAAAACAAAAAAAGAGTTCCCATCTCATCTGCACCACTACTGTGTGACAGCAGCAGCAGCCAGCCAAGAAGAGAGAAGAGCACATTGCATTATTGCTTTTCCTGCAACAACTGGGGCAACAAAAAGCCACTTGGTACTTTGCTTATTTTTATCCACCCAATCTACTTTTGCTCCTTTTCTCGCAAAAAGCCCCCTTGCACCTCTCCCCTCCCCTCTCTGTCCGGCTCCTTGTGCTCTGCAGAAAGGCCAGTTCCGCTGCTAGTTCTGGGATGCGGAAAAGGCGACCGCATCCAGCCGCAGCATGGACAGATAGCTGTAGGATCTCATGCGCCGCGGCGGCAGCGGCAGCGGCAGCTCGCCGTTGCGATTGCGCTGAGCTCAACGATCCCTCAACACGCCGGCCGGTGCGCTTGGCGCAGGGGGAATGTGCAGCTGCTGTTGCTGCCGAAAAGCTAGCGATCCGATGCTTTTGTGTGTGTGTGTGTGTTATCCGACGGACGAGGACAAAAGACACCGGGCATCTCGGCGGCGACGGACGGGCTCAGCTCGGCATCTGATGCCTCTTCTGATGTTGATGGGGGGTTTTCAGGTAAGCTGGTGGGTTTGGTTTTCCTTTTTTTAGTTCTTATGCAAGTGGGATTTTGATCGAATTGCTTTTCTGGTGCCTTTTGTGACAGGAATTTTGTACTCTGGTAGTTACATTCAAGAAGCATACGCGCTTCACCGCACACGTGCAACACACAAGCACATCCGTGAGGGTGACCTTAACACATTATTACTCAAAAACAATGGAGAGACCGATAGTTGATCAAACATTCGCACACTCACATCTCCCCGCTCATCCACGCGCAGGTGACACGGGGAAAAACCCTAGCCGCCGGCCACCCCCTCTCCTCTCCGCCGCACCGCCGCCGGAGCACGCCACTACAAAAGCTAAGCGATATGCTGGGAAGACAGCGGCATGGCTAAAACCTGGCGAGGCTAGGTCTCCAGCGTAGGGGAGACAAAGTGAAACTGGCCACGACGTGCCCCCGATAAGGGTGGCCGCGAATCCAATGCCGGCTCCACCGGATCTAGTCTCCTCGCAGCTGAATCTACCCCCCGTGCGAGATTCTAGGTTTAGGGTCCCCTCCCTAAATTATGGTTTAGGGTCCTAGGTTGGGTGGGGGTGGAAGGAAGGGGAAGAGATGGGGACATCGCTGACCTTAGAGGGGTAGTCATGGGAGGCGGTGGCCTTATAGTAGGTGGTAGACACGGGAGGATGGTGAGGTGCCAACACGGCGTTAGAGCCATGGGGATGAAGGATGATGGTGGGCCAGTGTTGACGGCAAGGCAAAGCGAAGCTTGTGGTTAGTAGACAGCGGCCGACAATGGAAGATCCGGCAATAGTGAGAAACCGAAGATGAGGAAGACGACAGGAGGTGGGCTCCTCACCATCGGTGGCTTCAGGATGAGGAGAGGGAGGAAGGGGGTCTTCTCTGGTGCTGTTCGTGCCTTCTAGCCAACTGGCAAGACCGGGCAATGGGGCGGCAGCAGCGTAGGGCACGAGAGGAGAGAGCGTCGTGCAATGGGGGTGGGTATGAAGGAGGGAGGAGAAGAGCGAGGGGGTTACCGGGGGAGAGGAGTGTGCACGAAGGCGGCGGGGAAAACACGTCGACAGCAGAGCTTCTCCTCGGCATGGGAGGCAAAGCGGCGTACGCACGGCGGGAGACAGCGGCCGAAGCGGACAGCGGGTAGATCCGCCCACGCCGGAGGCTGATCCGGCCTCTCGGTGGTGGATCTAGCCCCCAGCGGCTAGATCGGGATAGGCCGAGCTCGCGGTGGCGGTGGCGCTACTCGAGCTCGTGGCAGCGGCGGCGCGACTCGAAGCTCGCGGCGGCAGAGGCGCAGCCCGGGAGGCATGGGCCAGCGGAGGATGCTCTGGCAGCGGCGGAGCTCGTGGCGATGGTGGCGACAGCGGGCAGCCGGCGGGCCGGTCGGCGACGATGGAGACCGGTGAGGCGCAAGGAGGCGCGACCGATGGTGGTGGAAGCCGACACGGTACGGCCGGTGGCGGTGGAGGCGGCCGTGGTGGAGGCTCGGGCGAGGCGTGTGCCGGTGCGGTATGATGAGGCTGGTCGGCGTGGTGCGAGGAAGTGCAGCCGGCGACGGCGGTGGCCGACGCAGCGGGAGGCGAGGCCGGTATTGGCGAAGCCCGATGAGGCGCGGCCGGTGGCAGCACACAAAGGCTGGCCGGGGGGGGAGGGCGTCGATGCAGTGGCGCCCACGCACCGGCGGAGGTTTAAATGGCGGTGGAGCAATGATACATCAGTGGTAGATAGGCAGGTGGTGGACGGCGGGTGAACCCAGCCCGGCCTTGGCTGGGCCGACAACGATGGTGTTCGAGTGTCACTCCCCTCCTGAGAGCGTTGTTGTGCC